TGAATCTGCCCTAAGCCCACAACCAAACAAGGAACAGGAAGTAAGGTGGAAGTCACACATTCCACTGCCAATCAGATATTACTTATATAATACTCTGATGTATAAACTAAGGAATTATAGAATTAATCATTTAAGGTCATTTATGTTATACTAGTTTTAAGAAAGTGACTAATGACGTTCCAGAAAATCCTATATTTTCCGCCTTACAACAGATAAGTAGTTTTAATTCTATAAAACCGTTCCATTTAAGTATTATTGTACTTATAATAAGGTTTAACATAATTTTAACTATCCATAAAATTATGAGAAGAATGTTTTCCGTTTTGATGGTGAAGAGTGGTTTTAAATCCCCATAAAACCGTTCCCTAAAGTAGTTTTAAATCCTCATAAAACCGTTTCGTTTTGTTTGTGAAAAGTGATTAATACAGTAGTATTTCTTAAAAATAAACTATTGAAGAATAACTACCCTAATATTAACCTGGTTAATTAGGGTTTAAAATGTGATAAAGTTGTAACCATGCTGGACTAGAATAAACACGACAACCTACTGGTGTCGAAACTGAATACGTGACATTTGTCACCCCATGGCTGGTCTGCCGGACTGTAGCTAGCAGTCATGATGTGGGATTGTCAGTCCCGTATAGATCTATACACATAATGTCCGCTCTCCCTCCAAGAGACTCTGGTTACAAGAATGTAACATAGCAAGTATTGCTATGTCCTGAATACATACCATCACATTTTAGTTTGAGTAAAGATCGAATTATATCCATTTCTCGATAAAGTAATTTAGACCTCGTACACTTATCTAGAAAACAAATTTCTCATTTGTTTCATAAATTATACCTATTATAATTTATACGTTCTATCTGATTAGCATGATCTATCCTAAATGTACCCCTTTGCTCAGCATGATACAAAGGTAATGATACCGCCTGAAGTAACCTTTTATATTCCCATATGTATAATGTATATAATTAAAAAGGAAACAACCTTCGTACAAATAACTCCACCTTAAACCCACATCCAAACAAGGAAAAGGAAATAAGGAAACTCATTAGTCCTAAGCCCTTTAAGTCTTATTTATATACTTATACATATATGAACATGATTTTGATAATTATAAGCTAAAAGAGTTATAAATACATTTTAAAGAGTTTAACAGTATCTTAAAAGAGTTTATGTGATTTTGAAAAGAGTTCACATGACTTTAAGTCATTATGGAAGTATTGGAAAATCCTTTATTAAAAAAAATAAAGATTCAAAGCATAAGGAAATCTTATATGTGATTGATATCACATGTATTTACTAACACAATTAGATTGTGTTCAACTTGTATTCCCCCCTAAAAAGCATTTAAAATCATTTAAAAGGTAGATTATAGGGGTATGAACTCACCTTATGTCGGTGATTCGAGTGAAGATATTGTTGGGTTATGAGCATTCTAACACTCCTAAGTGTACATGCAACCCTAAATACCTTGGATCTA